ACAGCACTTGATGGACTCAGCAGGTAGTGGGTCTGCTATCTTCGTGGGTGTAGCAGGAGGCAAGTCTATTGCCTCAAGCTGGGCGGTCACAGGTGAGCGCAGCAATCAGTTTCTAGCCTAAGGAAAGAAGCTTAATCCTTAAGGAGACGCCAGTGTTGGGAGGGGGAGGGAAGTTGCACCTTTATCTCAAGGGCCTTTTGCTCTTGCCATAGGGAATCTCTAAAGCAGATATACAATGCATGCTCAACAGCCTGGGTCAGGCCCTTTTGGAAAGACAAGGTCAGGCCGAATTAGGTTTACACCAAAATGGCTTCCTCATATATTCCAATATATCCTATTACTTGCCGTTTTTATTTGACATTGTTCATTTATTTATTTAATGATTGGCCCTGAGCTAATATCTCTTCCTCGCAGCGGAACAAACAGCAAACGGAGCTCCTGTCCTGCCTGCCCCCTGCCCCGGGCGCCAGGCTGCCGCCTGTGGTGTAGATGCAGGGAGGGTACCCCTGGTCTGACTGAGCCGGCGCGCAGGGCCTCCTCCCAGCGAGACCCTGGGAGACACAGACCGCGCCCCGCGAAGAGCAGCCTGGGAGCGATCGAGCGGCCGCTCATCAGCAGGGCTGGCGCGAGGGCGGCAGGGGTCGGCCCGAGGGAGTCCGCCGCCGGGAGCGCAGACAGTCGGGCCCGGGCGGGGCCCACCGCGCCCCGAGGGACGCAGGGAGGGGATGGCGCGGCTGCGCTCACGCGCCCCGTCTCACGGCCCACCCGCTCCGGCTGTCCGCGTGGGCCTCCGCCTCCCCCGGCGAGGACACTCGGGACCCGGCCGCCCCGGCTCTGTCCTCATGCCCCGCGCGGCGGCCAGGGCTCCTGACCGAAGCACGTCTTGCTCTGGGGACAACCCGCGCTCGCCATCCCCCACCGGGTGACAGCAGCGCCCCCTCGGGGGCCCGCGACCCGCAGGAAGCAGCGGCCGCATGGCTGCCTGAACGCGAACGCGAACCGTCCGCAGCCCAGGACAGCCACTCGCCGTCCACAGCCACGCGGCGGTACAGACGCGCCCCGGCCTGCGCCCTGCCATCTCTTCCAGGGTCGCGTCCATCCTGGCGTGCGGCCTCAAGACCCCGGATGCTACCTGCCCCCCGGGGGCGAGGGGGCTCTGGGGCCTCTGCGGAGAGACCCCGGACCCCCGTGTCCCCGAGTCCCCACATCACTCAGGCTCCACGTGCGGCCCCGCCCCCATGGCCGCCCCCCGCCCCTCGCAGCCCAGCCCTCTCAGTCGCTCCGCCTCTGCTGCCTCAGTGCCTCCTCGCTCCACATGGTCCCTTCGCCCTCCCTTTAGGCCCTGGGCTCTTTCCCTCATTCCTCGGCCCTCCCCGCCCAACAGTGGCTCTTTCCCTGGATCCTCCGCCCTGTGGTCGATGTTCGGTCCTTTCCGTAGACACTTGGCCCTCCCCTCTCCACCCGGCTCTCGGTAGATGGTCTGCCCCTCAGACACTCTCGGCACTTTCTGTATCCCCTCGGCTCTACCCTTCACGACTCTGCGACTCGGACAAGCTCGGCGCTCTCGGCCAGCTGTCGGTTGTTTCCGTCTCCGCCAGGGCTCTGCGATTCCCACAACCTCGGCGCACTCAGCCAGCCATCGGTTGTTTCCGTCGCCCTCCGGCTCCCCGCCCGGATGTGTTAGTCTCAGTTCATGCACAGCCCGCGGGACGCGCTCGTGTGCGCTGGGCGGTGGCTGTGTCTGTTCTGAAATCGCAGCTCGCGGAGAACTGTGCGCCAGGGTAGGTGCAGCGCGGTCCTGGTGAAAGTCTGGGCGTGTGGCCGGGCGGGGACGGTGGAGTGGGGCCTGGGTCAGGGATTGGCCTCAGGATCAGGGCTGTAGGCTTCATGGATAGTGACAAGCAACAGGGTGGACGAGCGCCCGAGGGAGCCGTTTGGGTTGAAACGAACTCGGCCGGCACTGGTTTTCCCGAAGGGGCCTGGCCTGTGGGGTGCGCGTGTATCCACTTTAAACGTTGACTGTGTCCCCAAGACAGGAGCGATCAGTAAGGATGGGGACGCAGCGTCCCCACATCGGCGTTTCTGGAAGGAAAACCGTCTCCCCCTAAACTCGGGATTGAGTGCCCACCCGGCCGCCTGAGACCTCCGACCCGCTGTGTTCACTGACCTGCGGTGTCAGCAAAGCCTCTGGTGACAAGTGAAGGGACATCCCTGTCATATGTGGCGGATGCCATTTGTTCCAAGACCCTATGTAGCCGCTCTGTGACCCCCTTGTTTGGTGCCCTTGCTGCCTTGGGGAGAAAGGCCCCGGGCTAGTCCCCACAGCTGCCCTATAGTAATTCACCCAGTTTTCAGTGGTAGATTAATTATGGAGTATTTGCGGCGAAAGGGTTAGGGTTAGGGCTGGCGTCAGGGATGTGGTTAGGGTAGGGGTTGGGGTCGGGGTCAGGGTTTAGGGTTTAGGCAAAGGTTTAGGGTTTAAGATGGGGTCTGGAATTACAGGCAAGAGGTGAGAAGAGCGAGGTGAGGGTGAGAGTAAGGGTGAAGGCGAATTTACTGGTTGGGGGGTTAAGGATACAGGTTAAGGTTCGAGGTTTGGGTACAGGTTCTGGGTTGGGATTAGGATTAGGGTTAAAGGTATGGTGATGTTTGTCGTTAGGGTTAGGGAATTAGGTTTAGGGTTAGGGTTGGGGAGATAGGTTTTAGGGTTAGGGTTAAGGTTTAGGGGTTAGGATTAGGGGTAGGGTTAGGGTAAGGTTAGGGTTAGGATTAGGGTTAGGGTTAGGGGTTAGGCTCAGTGTTAGGGTCAGGGTCAGTGCCAGGGTGAGGGTTAGGGCTAGGGCTAGGGCTTAGGGCTTATGGCTAGGGTTAGTGCTAGGGCTAGGGCTGTGGTTAGGGGTTTGGTGTTAGGGTTAGTGTTAGGGCTAGGGCTTAGGTCTTAGGGCTAGGACTAGAAAGTTTGGGTTAGGGTTCGTGTTCGGATTGGGGTTGGGGTTAGGGTTAGGGGTTAGGGTTAGGCTTAGTGTTAGATTTAGGGTTAGGGTTTAGGGTTAGGGGTTAGGGTGTTAGGGTTTGTTAGGGCTCTGACCTTTTGACATTAGGTTTATTTGCTGAAATTCATTTTTTCCAATCCTTTGTTGTAGTTGGATGGGAGAGAGTCCTGGGTCATCTCTCCCTGCCATTTTGCTCCGCCCCTCTCTTTAATCATCTTTTTTGACATGTTTTAGGTCAGGTCTGCTGGCAATTCCATCTGTCTTTCTTTGTCTGAGAAAGTATTTCTCCATCATTTTTGAAGGGTAATTTCACTATATAGAATTCTAAGCTGGTGAGGGTTTTTCTTTCAACACTTTAAACATTTCATTCCACTCTCTCCTTGCTTGCACGGTTTCTCCTGTGAAGTCCACTGTGATTCTTAGCTTATTCCTCTATAGGTGTGTTTTATTTCTCTGGCTTCTTCCAAGATTTTTTTAGTTTTTTTTTTTTTTACTTTTTATTTTTCAGGTTGAATATGGTATACCTAGCAGTGCTTTATTTCTTTCTTTGGAATTTTTCCTGCTTGATGTTCTCTGAGTTTCCTGGATATATGATTTGGTGGTTATTGTTCATTTCGGAAAGTTCTCAGCCATTATTACCTCAAATATTTATTCTGCTCAGTTGTCTCTTCTGGTATTTCAAGTACACGTGTATTTCACCTTTTGATGTTGGCCCACTGTTCTTGGGTGCTCTGGGTTTTCCCTTCGTTATTTCTGTCTGCGTTTCTGCTTGGGCATTTCTACAGCCCTGTCTTTCAAGCACATCGATTCTTTCCTTGGCCAAGCTGAGTGTAACGATGAGCCCACTGAAAGATTTAGTCATTTCTGTTACTGTATTTTTTAAATTTCTAGCATTTAAAAAAATATTTTTCAGAGGGTCCATCTCTCTGCTTACATTACTCATCTCTTTTTGCACATTGTCTAATTTTTCTTTAGAGCTGTCAACGTATTATTCATAGCTATTTTAAATTCCCTGTCTGATAAGACCCATATCCGTGCAGTGTCTGAGTCTGGTTCTGATTATTGCTTTATCTCTTCCCAGTGTGTTCGTGCCCTCTGGCTTGCCTTGTAGTTTTTACTGAGAGCTGGACGTATTGTATTAGGTAATAGGAACTGAGGTGAATAGACCTTCAGTGTGAGGTTGCCTGTTACTCTGACTAGAAGTTGGGCTGTCTTTAATGTTGCTATAGCTGTAGGTGTTAGAGGCTTCACTGTCCACTGGTGTCCTTTTTTCTGTCCCTTCTTGTACTTGGATTTCTCAAGAAAGTTTTCTCAAATAGAGTCTGTGTCCTGGAGCTCTCTCAGATGTGATTTACTGTTAGCATACTGGAGCCCTCTTGAGCTATGAGCAGGGCAAGCATTCTGCAATCTTACGATTAAATCTCTGTGGTTTTTACTGAGACTAAGTCTCTGGGCTTTGACTTTCAGAAGAATTTCTTAGCTTTTTCTCCCTACCTTCCAAAGTGAGTGCCTGTAGCAATATCTGGGTTCCTCTTCCTCACCCACTAAACACTCACTAACAGTCACTGTGGGGCAGGGCAGAGGTGGGAGCTCAAGAGGAGGGAGAAGGCCTCAGAGTCCTGAGCTGGCTCAGCCCCGTGTGTGCGTGTGTGTGTGGGGTGGGGGGTCACAGCATCCATGAGGCCCTCTAGGCCACAGATGGAAGGCTTCATCTCCCCCTGCCCCTGCCCCTAATGCCCCAAACCAAAGGCAGGTGTGTATGGGAGGGGCCAACAGTATTTGCATATTCAAATGCAAAGCAGTAAAGTACCTATATTTCATCTCTTGGTGACATCCCACATCGTAATTTTGGGAGCCTCAGGCCTCCCCTCCTCCCTAAGGGATTCTCACCCTGGCCCTTGCTGGTGAAAGAAATCTCATAAGAGAAGAGGTTCTGTCTTCCCCCCTAGCTGCAGGGAATCATATTCTCTTCTGCCTGGTAAAACTGTCTTGTTTCGGTGACTTCTTGCAGAGGAGTCCTGTGAGATGCCTGGACTCCATGGTGGTGGATACTGTGAAGCATGAAGGAGGCCTTCAGCCTCCATACCTGCTGCCATTCTGCCGGTCATTTTACAGGCTAGCTCGAAGCCCAGCTGACACTATTTATATGAACATCTTGGTTTCAGAAAGATGCATACCTTGCTTGTCTCCCACACACACAGCGGTGAAACAGAATCCGACTCTGCCAGATTTGTAAGTCGAAGCTGAGTTTGATGAGCTCCCAAATCTAATGGTAGGAGTGGCTCTGTGACTTGCTGTGTTGCAGCAGAGGTCTGCCTTGTTGCTTGTGAAATCCAGGGAGAGGGGCACAGGAACAACAGGGGTTGTCAGGTTAAGGATCAGGGTGAAGGTCAGATCCAAGGTCAGAGTTAGGAGTCAGGGGTTAGGGTTCTCGTTAAGGTTCAGGTTAAGGGTTAGGGGCTATGGCTTAGGCTAAATTTCGGGTTCAGGGTTTGGGCTTCAGGGCTAGGGCTAGGGTTAAGGCTAGGGTCAGGGTCAGGGCTAGGTCTAGGTTTAGGGCTAGGGCTAGGGCTACAGTACGGGTTCAGGTTCGGGTTCGGGTTGGGGTTCGGGTTCAGGTTTGGCTTAGGGTTCGCGTTCGGGGTTAGGGTTAGGGTTCGGGCTAGGGTTCTGGTTCGGGTTAGGGTTCGGATTAGGGCTAGGGTTAGGGTTCGGGTTAGGGTGTTAGGGTTCGGGTTAAGATTCGGGTTTGGGTTCACGTTCAGGTTATTGGTTACGGTTCACCTTCGGGTTCCTGTTCTGGTTCTGGGTCTTCCTTGGACCAGTCTGTGCCATCTGCTCTGTTTGTGATGACTTCAGAGCCTCCTTAATGCTCAGCTGGGGGTCATTAGAAGGGCAGAATTATAAGGGGGTAGATGAGCTGGAATATCATTGGGTTGTCATGCATTTGGCTTGGTTTTCTAAGACTGCTCCAAAAACTACAAACTCTAACATTGTTACTAAATGTGGAAACTACTTAAGGGTGGAATTGATGTTGGACAGGCTTGGGTACAGAAACAGATTGGAATTTTAATCAATAATCCTTCTGTGGTTTCCTGAAGGTCAACTTAGTTTTCTTTCTGATGACTCTCTGGATGTTGAAAAGCAGACTCTCTTCCGTCAACAGTGATGTTCCACCCTGCAGGACACAAGGTAATCCGGAGGAGAGGGTGACAACCCACAGCCACGTGTGGTCCCAAGAGTGAAGCCATGTCCCTTTGCAACCCCTGCTGCCCCTTCTCAGGGTCTTCTGAGAACCCAGAGTAAACAGATCCAGCTATGCTTCTGTGGCAGCCAGCTCAGACTCAGGGGTGTGTGGCTGACACCACAGCCAAAATGTTCCGTCCATCTCTAAGCCAAGCTTGTTACTCCCTCAGCAGCAGGAAGAACGGACATTGGTTGATAAACATTCTTTGGACTTTTGTCAGCAGTCCCATGACAAAAGTGCAAAGAAGACTTATGTTCCCATGAAGCACTTAGAAACACTGTGTCTGCTCCCACACCAGCCTACGCTTTCATACAACACCATTAGTTCAGGCTCCTTCTCACCCTCATCCATTCCTCTCTCTGGAAAAAATCCTAGTCAACATCAGATCTAGGAGTTTGGGCATTCCTTTGCTCCAGGAACCCTTGTGGAAATTTAATGATGTTTCTTCTATATTCCTATCATCATCTTTTCTGAATGAAAATAGAATCTTGCCTTTGTTATTTTTAATGCCCAGGCCCCAGCACAGAGCCCGATGCACAGTACCTCCTCAGTAGTGTTGGCTGAGTGAAAATAGGGATCCCTGTGGAGCGTCATAAAATTTTTGAAGCTTACATTTGAAGTATCACTATCCTCCTCAATCTAAATCAAACTGCCCTCCTGTACTTGAGTGCTGTTTCCATTGTGGGGAATCATTGATGGCAAAGATCAAAGATGATCACAGCGCAGCCTGAGAACTCATCACCAGCAGAGGAAGGCAGGAGCATCCATGGGGTGGAGATGTAAATGGCGTTTTCTTTTGTTGCTCTGGGTGCCTCAGGAGCCTCCTTTCTCCTCCTCCACAGGATGCTGACTTTTAAAGCTACAGCTCAGCTCTTCATCTTGGATGCACGTGGTGTCTGGGAATCCTGCAGGTGGGTTCAGCTGCCCACGTCATGGCCTACCTCTTGACCATCATCAACAGCCTGCAGGGCGTCTCCATCTTCCTGGTGTACTGCTTCCTCAGCCAGCAGGTACCACTATCCAGCTGCCGCCCAGGACTCTTCCCATCCTCACCCCTCTCAGTGAGCTGATCCAGAGTATGCTTTTCCTCTGCAGGTTCGGGAACAATACGGGAAATGGTTCAAAAGGGTCAGGAAACCCAAAGCTGAGTCTGAGACTTTCACGCTTTCCAGCAGGGCCGTGTCTGATGACTCCAAACCCATCACGGTATGATCATGCGTTGCTCCCAGAATACTTCACCAACTGATCTGCCCGAGCAGCATGTGCCTATCACACTGGACAACCTGGGTGAACAGCAGATGATGCCCTAGGCTGGCTCACGCTTGACTTACTCCTGGACTCCTTAACCATTAGCAGTGGTCTCAGTTTAAAAGTTTATTTTAATAAACATATTTTGCTTAGGGAACTGTGTTCATCTTGACCTTTATACATCAGTGCTCTTACTGAATACCTGCTATGTGCTGTGCTTGGTTAACTAGATAAGCAAAAATCAATGACCCAAAATGGTGATGCATGTTCTACTCAGAGCCACATTGTTCTGTCCTTCTCTGCACACCTTCTATCTCACAGTCACTCAGCAGCACTCACAAAAAGGGGGAAATGGAAGGAAATGATGCACATATTTATGAATTAGACATAAGGGTTAGCTGGCATTTTAGACTTTCTTAAAAAGACTTCCTCATATTTTCAACAGCTTCTACATTATGCAAAACCTTGAAGGAAAAGCATTAATGACATGGGATAATTCATGGCACAGATTACAAAGAACCAACACAGTGGTTTAATCTTACAAAGTCCTTTTACCTATGTTTTCTCAACTCTTCCATCTTCTATGAAATCCCTTGAGTCGTCCTTACCATTTAAAGGACTCTAGGATTCTGCCAGGAAGTCCTTGTGCATTTCTCTTGTTACCTTGTTCACCCAGCACTGGTTCCATTGTTCAATCTTCTCTCTCCTCCCCCTTTCTCAAAAATGTTCTCATCACCTATTTCACAGACAAAATCAAAGACATTACGATGCTTTGTATATTTCACACAATCCACCATACCCACCAAACGTCAGCGTGCATCCCCTCCACATTCTTGTGTCATCGACACAATTCCCTTCTCCTCTCTGAAGACAATGCTTACACCTGCTCTTTGGATCCCATCATTCCTGCCTTATCAACTATCCTCACATTATTGTTCACACATTCTCTCTCCCTCTCTCTCTTTTCTCTTCCTCCCTCCCTCCCTCTTTTCTTCCCTCACCTTCTCAACAGTGTTCTTGCCAAAGTTATGGAAACGTTTAGTTTTCTTCCATTTTTCACACATGTACTACTTGGCCCTGTTCTAGCTACCAGCCAATAGTTGACTTTTCTCTGTGTCTCCATTTCCCTGCTTTAAACTCACTCCCTAACTCCATGCAGTATGGCTTCTTTCTCCCATGATTCCACCAAAACATGTATCTCAGACCTACAGTGATCTCTGTGTTCCTAAAAGCCTTCTCAGAAACTTCTCACACTATTCCCCACCCCTTTCTCATGAAACTCTCCATCTTTATCCCCTATAGATTCTATTTACACACCCCTGCATGTCTTTCTTCCATTCTCTCTAGCTTTTCTGTCTGTCTCCTTCATAGCTCCATCCAGTGGGTTGGTTCCAGAAAAACTTCAGTTCTCGTTAAATTCTTTCCTCCTAAACAATCATGTCCATTCCTTAGATTCAGTCACATATCGATGCAAATGATGCCTCTGTATGTTTCTCTAGGTCTGACCCTTCCTCTGAGATCTAGAGGAACATCTCCACTTACTTATTTGACATTTTTGATATCTCAAAGACACCTTCAACTCATCCTTCCTATATAAGACTTGCAATCTTTATCCTAATCCAATTCTTTCCCATGGTGTCTGTCTTTCTGAATGGCACTACATCCATCCTGTGACACATCTTTGAGCCCTGAAAGTTACACTTAACAATCATCTTACTCCCCATCACAACCTATTCATTATACAATGCTGTTTTTGTTTGTCTTAGGTTTCCCTTTTTTATTTATTTATTTATTTTTTGGTAAAGATGATTGACCCTGAGGTAACATCTGTTGCCATTCTTCCTCTTTTTTTTTTTCTCCCTAAAGCCTCAGCACATAGTTGTATATCCAACCATAAGTCCTTCTAGTTCACCTATGTAGGATGTCACCACAGCTTGGCTTGATGAGCGGTTGTAGGTCCACCCTCAGGATCTGAATAGGTGAATCCCAGGCTGCTGAAGCGGAGGGTGCCAACTTAACATCTATGCCACTGGGCCAGCCCCAGTCCTGTTGTTCCCATATTCTCAATATGTGCCCAATATGTCCAGCTGGCTCAATCTCCATCACCCCCTCCTTGGCCAGGCTGCCATCTTTACTTGCCTGACGAACTGCACTATCCTCCCAACTGACCTGCCTTTTCTATTCTTGTCACCGTCCAATGCATCCTTTACATAGAAGCCTGAGAGAGCTTTTCAAACACAAATGGAATCATGTCACTCCTTTGTTAAATCCATTTCATATAGGACCAAACCCCGAATCCATAATCAATGAGAATTTGCTTGGGTTGTCTCCTGCTCACCTCTCCAGCTTCATCTGCCACATACTCACCATTGTTCCAGCCACATGGGATTTCTTCCAATTTTTTAGATTCACCGTGCCTCTTTGGAATAAAGACTTTGTACATGTTCCTTCTTCTTGAAACACTCTTATGTCTCCCTTGGCTCAAAACTATATAAGCCTTCAGATCTCAGCTCATGCGTCAACTCCCCCAAAAAGCCTTCTCTGCCTGCTCAGAATAGGTCAGACTCTCTGGTTTTTCTCTCTGATAGCCACTGTGCCTTTCCCACAGAGCATCTGTCAGAGTCATTTCATTCTGGTTTTTCACTATCTGGTTAATGTCTGTCTTCCCTCTAGATCTGAGCTCCAGCAGGCACCATGCTGCTTTTCCTTCCTATTGCACCCTCAGCATTTCACACAGGGCCAGGCCTATAGAAATGCTCAATGCATAATTGCTGCATGACTGATCACATTAAGGAATGAACAAACTGCAGCTGCAGAAGAGGCAGGAACTGTCTTGTTTTCAATCTCTCTCCACGTCTAACGCTTCCCAAGTGCTCAATAGTTACTTACTGAACAAATGAATGAATGAACTTCCTGATCATGATGGAGGTAAAATATTAGAATAAATTATTGATCAGTTTAAGGTGCCTCTTTCTCTTGGGAATTTCAAGATAATTCTCTGCCTTACTTATTGTTTTATTATTAACCATCATGTCTACCTGTTAACACCCTAATATTTCTTTATGATCCAAGAGCTTTGTCTAGATCTTAGTTCCCAGACTGAAACAGATCTGGAATGAAATAGCAGCTCTACCAAGTACTTGCCATGTGAACTTGGTCAAACTGAGAAACATTTTAAGTCCTCAATCGCCCCCTTCATCTCCCGTGTACAAATGAGACAGTTTTCTGAGTCTCGCCCAATCAGAACTAATTAATTGCTTCCATTTGCAGGATTTCGAGTGAATTGTGCTTTGGTGGGAAGGGGATGACCATCTCCCCACAGTAAATGTTGCTTCATCCAAGGATGCACAGGTAACCGAGCAGGAACGAATGCAGCATCCCTCACTACAGCTGATGTTGAACACGTAAGGGAGGGACCCACGGATCTGAGAGGCTCAGTTCTCACTGTTCCACAGGCCTGTCCCACTCAGGGCTTCCACTCATTCAGGAAGAACATAGCAAGTAATCCATGCCTTTCTGTTTAGGGGGATGCTAGCATTACCTGTCCCTCGTGTTCTTGAGTCAGCTCAGCCTCAGCAAGGCCGTATCCTCATCCCTGGGAGCTGGTTCCCAGGAGTCCCTCAACCAAATTGGAGCTGCCCTCACTCCAGAATCCCAGAAAACTGATTCTTCCACATCTATACCTCGAATGTATTTGTTCCCTCTTGCTGTTGGACAAAATTACCACAGACTTACTGCTGAACCCAACACACATTTATCTCACTGCTCTAGAAGTGGAAAGTCCCAAATCGGTCTTAGGGACCAAAATCAAGGTGTCATCAGAGCTGCGTTCCTCCTGGAGATTCTAGGGGAGTATCCGTTTCCCCACCTTTTCCAGCTCCTAGAGGCTGCCTGCATTTCTTGGCTAGGGGCCCCTTGATCCACTCCATCATCACAGCTTGCAGTGTAGCATCTTCAGTCTCTCCTCTGCTTCTGTCACCATATCTCCTTTACTGTCTTTGACTATGACTCTGCTGCCTCCCTTTTTCCCTTATAAAAACCCTAGTCATCACATTGGCTCACCTGGATACTCCTGGATAATTTTCCCATCTCAAGATTCTTAGTTTAATTATATCAGCAAATCTGTTTTTCCATATAAAGTAAAATATTTACAAATCTAGAGATGAGAATGTGAGCATCTTTGGTGGATCAGTTTCCTCTCTACCATACTTATTGTACAAGGTTTAGCTTACCTATTGTAGAGCCATCAAAATTTGGCTCATAGGATAGATATTTGAACAAATATTTATCATCCTCTCATCCCACCAATTTCCCTCCTGCTCACAGATGGTATACACAATGAATCAAAGAAACATGTACCTTCTGTGAGAGAAATGCAGCAATGGCATCAGATAGCTAATGAAACCTTCTAAAATTCGAGTAATCTCATCACATATATCTACTATCATTGAGTAAAGGACCAAGAAGATTCATTGCTTAATGTAATTTTACCTTCTATGATCTCCTAAAATTTGGTGTCTCTGCTGTGTAAAGATGTAAAGGTGTCTCCCTCTCATTTGGCATCCCTTCCATGGCTTCCTGAAGTTTCATCCAAGGAAAACAAAATAGTTGCTCTTGTTCTCAGGTCTGAGTAATTTCCTGAAGTACAGTATTTACAAAGTTTTTGAGTAAAGATAAGCAGGTGAAGTCGCCCACTTAAATTTCAGAAATTTTGCTTAGCTTCCTGTGCATGTAGGAATAAATGACTCACCTTGGGGGTGGAAAGACGAAGCGCGTGAAAGGAATTTAATGCCTTTTCCCTTCTATCTTAGGTGAATAACTATAGGTAGTCCTTCCCACATTTCACTCATTTCTCAGCTGCCGTCTTATGTAACTCCAGGCGTAGAGCACCGTTTCACAAACCCTGAAGCAGAGGGAGCAGGAAACACATTTGAAACAGATGGATAATTTTTTAGAGCAGATTTAATTGCTGTTGTCTTCTGTAACTTGGGGGTTAGGAAATGTAGGGAGATGGGATTTCTGAGAAAGACCAGGGTCTAGCAGAAGGCAGTCTGATTCAGCCTTTTGGTCTTGCCTTGACGAATCCATCTGGCACAGAAATTTGTGATTACTTCCTAAATTTCTTATTTTTTTCCAAAGCAAACTTTTAAGTTCTCT